TCTTTAATAACATCCTGTTTCCTGCAGCAGTGACAGTAGACATAGTTAACAACTCAATCCATCATGAGTGATAAAGAAAAAATACAAACCTTATGTTGAAGTAATTATCAGGATCCCTTGATGCCTGCTCCTTAAAAAACTTTTAGTAAAAACTAAAAAAAAAACTTGAATCAGCACAAAGTTTTCATCTTTTTTTTTGGGAGAATTATGAAACTAAAAAGAAAGCTTAGGAAAGTAGAGACCTTTTCGCCGCTGAGAGAGCGAGAGACAACGTGAGAGTGGTCCAGCGAGTAGTGGATTTTGTTAGACACTTTAGGAGAACGGCGCCGCCGATCAGAAACAGAGCCTTCACTTTCAAGTGGATCAGCTTCAGTTTGAGCCTTCTCCAAGAGAGATGATCTATATTTGCAGTACACGTTTACACACTCAGCAGCGAGTTCACCATAGTGTGCAACCCTAAATCCATACCAAGCAACACACCACATTTGAATCTCACTAACAAATCTATCAGTGTTGCTGTAAATCTAATAGGTCAAAATCTCAATCAAAATCTTCCTGAAATGTGTAAGGATACCTGATTTCGAGAGCACGGCTGAAGCAATCAACAGCCTCAGCGAAAACCATATCCTTCAAGAACATAGAGCCTTTCTCAGTAAGTTCATCAGCGAATTCAAAAGTCTTCTCACGCTCCTCTTCAGAGACGCCATCAGTCACAGCACTGTCCGCCACGTTGTTGTTGCAGGACGATTCAGTGTCGCCTTAAACAACAGATTCGACGGTGGCTTCGATCGAGGCTTGGTTAAGTTATAGTTTACGGGAGTTCCAGACACCGAAGCTTTGGATGCTAAGACTGCTGCTGCTTCGTCAACCATCGTTCACGCTTGGGAAGGAGAAAAGGCGAAGAACAAACGAAACAGAAATTATCGTCTACTTTCTTTTGATCCAGGGTTTGTATTTTATGGGCCTAACGGGCCAATTTTGATTATGTTAAAAATCGGACCCAAAATTATTTGCTGATGTGATGAAACAAATGTTTTGATTGGCTGAATATTTTTGCTGACATGGACATGTTCATAGGGCTTTATTAAGAGCTTTTAATAGAGTAAAGATGTATATATATAATAATAATAATAAGTATATGCACCTAATTAAGGAAAGGGGCATAGAGTAAATTAGTTTCCGACAGTTGTTCTGACAATCATAGTTTTCTGTGCTTTTCCATATTAGCAAATTTTCAGTTATTGTGTATTTTTCTTGCAAATCGCTCAAATAAGAATAACCGTTTGATTTAAATGCACACACCAAATCCCCTATATATATATATTGAGGATCATTTAAAAAGTTATAACCTTAAGTTTGTACTAATTAAAAAAATCTTATCTTATGTGGCATTTCTCTATGAAATTCTACTTGGAAAAATTCTAAAGCACCTCATATAAAGCATAGTTTTAAAACAAAGTCCGTTGGTCTCATATAAGACATATCAAACTAAATAACATATCAAACTAAATCTTCTCTATATTCTTTTCTTAAATAAAACATACGGAATTACCTAATGTGATTAAGATATATATGACTGTTAATGATTTTAAATAATAAAGATCTGTTAACAATTTGTATACTTTATATCATTTTTGTTTAGTTTTTTATTATTATAATAAATTACACAACTACACTGATCATATAATAAATATTTATACTTTTTTATATATGTTGTACTTTGAAAATTTTAAAACGAGTATAAATTACTAAAACTAATAAAAATCTCACATAAACTTTTGTGATCAAGGTTTACTTATTTTCTATAATAAGTTATAATGATTATAAAATCATATCAATAAATAATTTTTTTTAATAGGTGTTTATGTTAATATATATATATGTTATATATATATATATATATATATCTCATATTGTAATAAATAATTTTACTTTAAACATAATTAGAATTTAAAATTGAACTTAATTTTTTATAATTTTCTGATATTATTAGACAAATAAATAAATTAAATTAAATTAGTTTTGAAATTTTATATATTCTAAATGCAAATATTCTACCAACTGCTTCTTAAGAAAGCATTATGGAACTTGATAATGCTCTACCAATTAAGCCATGTGACACTTCAAATATATACAGATGTTCTCTACATCCGTCTAGAGCTGGTATCTGGAGCTCATTTGATCTACGTCGGACTGTGAAACCATTCTCTTTACCCCTGACGTGACAAGACACGTCCATCATCTCTCGAACACTGAAAAGTTAAAAGATATATGAATCAAACCCATTAAATTATAAGTTTTGATCTACATTTCTAATTACAATTGTTTCTGATCCTACGTATAGATAATTATATAAAAATTCCAAAATTCCAAATACATATAAAAACAATCATATGTAAAATTTAAATTTGTGAATACTAAAATATTATATTTTAATTACATACACTCATCATGCGCAAGGCGCATGTCTTATCCTAGTAAATTTTATATTTCCCAAAAAGCCCGGCCAGAACCACATGTCCAAGTTTCCCTTCATGTATCAGAAATTGTTAAAGAAAAAACATGATGTTTCTTTTGTCTAGAAGGCGATCAGAAAATAAATAAATTGTTAATATATTCAAGATATAAGTCTGCCACTCAACAGAACCAGACATGATATTTTAACCTCATAAGGTTCCTCGTTCAATTCTTCCGAAGTCATTGAGTCTCTTTTTCTCGTTTGTGAATCTCCTCCCTTCTTGCACTCCATCTCAAAGAGGGAATAAAAACTTTATATTGTCTTCGAGCTCACATATCCACCATTTGAGTCTCCAACAATTATTCCAGTAATGTTCATTTTTCTTCTAAAAAATAATTAGAAAAAGGGGATGCTTGCATCCTCTGTATTACCGCGGCTTATGGCACATAGTTAGCCAATTCTTATTCCCCAAATACTGGAATTTTTCTATTTGGCCTGGTACTTTTGGGGCAAGAGGATTTATTCAATCACATAGAGTGAACTCCTAGAATATGGCGTCCTCGGGGCTTTCTATTTGATTGTATCAAAAGGCTTAATGAATTGGGATTTCTCAGATATGGCATGTGATACGGTTCCGAAGAATGAACCGGATATGGAAAATTCCAATAAGATTTCATTCTTAAACAAAAACCAGAATGAGCTTGCCGGTGGACCACTGCTGTCTCATTATTGAGTGAGCTGGAGCACAGCCCTGAATGAGGGGTCTTAACTCGACAAGCAGAACCGGTAAGAGACTACCAACGTGTTTTAAAGAAGGGTTGGGTTCTCTTGACATAGGTTTGCTTTTGGTCTAGATCAACTCAAATATAGTCTCTAACATCCTGATTAAAAAATTAAATTTGAAACTTGCTACACCTAAATCAAAAGCCAATTTTTTGGTGGAAGAACATGAGATCCTCTTGAGATTACTAGTGATTCCAGCTTCATGCAAGCCTATATATAAAATGTAATAAAGTCAACCATACGACAAGCAACACTGCTTGTTGCCGCCCATTTAGCTACCATCAATGAAATGGCACCAACATTGGTCACTGAAGCACCTTTCGTCAATAAAGGAGCTATCCTCCCCGGCAACATAGTACGCCTCCATATCAAATTATATTGAGCCGTTACGAATGACCGACTTTCTGTCACCCTATTTTTAAGGATAGACAGAGAGAGTTACTCTATGAAATTCTCAAATGGTAAAGGAACACCGAGTAGGATAAAAAAAACTAGCAAACTAATCACTAAATAGATAGAAGGCTCATTAACTCTGCTTGGTGTGGGAGTACGTACTCATTTATTATTCGTCGCCGGTCAAAAAGTGGAGAAGGAAGTTCATTCTTAATGTAGATTGTTCCCTTTCGTTAAGCTCATCGAGTCGACCCCATAAGCGGGATCACCACCCCATAGCATGTTGCTGCTGAAACCCCATATTTCTTCTAGACAATTTCCTAAGTGGTTGTAGCTCAGGTCAAGTAGTAGAGCTGGATCGGAGGAAGAAGGGTCTGACAGAAAAGATGTCTCCAGAGCCTGGGCATAGGTGATCCACTTTTTTGGGAGTATATTTATGTACTTGCTTATGATCAGGGTTTAAATATATTTGGGCTGACCTCAGCTATAGTCTTATGGTAGTGATATTCGGAGGGAATATATCCTTGCTGATTATGTGTTATGGGAGCATATCGCTTGACAAATATTTGTTGAAGATTCGGTGTTGTTGGATTGAGGAGTTTAATAGATTTTAGTGGAATGTAAATCTGAAGTGAAATCCAATGTTATTCAATTGCGTATTTGATAAAAGTAAATTAAATTCCACTGTTATTGGATTGAGGATTTGTTATATGGTATTTTGAAGGAATTGAAAACACATGTTATTCAATATCAAATAGATTATATTAGAATTGAGTTTTAATGGATTTTGATTTACCTTTTTTTATAAAAATAAGCATAAACTGAATCCCAGACTTTTTGTTTGGCTTTTGAAGTAAAGTTTATAAATTGGAACATAACTTTTTGATCTCGCGTGATCTTCTGAGATTGAAATCGAGAATATCTCGAGTAAATTGGGTTTCAATTAACTGATATAAGCATTCACGTGGAAATTAATTTTCAGTTGGTTAGATTCGGGAAATTTTTGTTTGGATGCAAGTAAGAAGGATATATTGGTCGTAAAATTATAGCTACTAGATTTTGATCCATGTTTTGGAAGCGTGAGAATTTTTTTTCCTGTTAGGTTAACATATCAAAACATGTATACTTTCATTGTAAAGTCAAATTTGAAGATGTGTAATATTATTTGGAGCTACATGATTGAGAAAACTGTTCATGTTTTTTACATAGTAACAACTTATCCCTCTAGTTTAACAATATATTATTTTATCCGTTAACTAAAACACGAAGATAAAATTATGAATTCTATGTCTTTCGAAGTTATTATTAAGCATCTATCTATCTATTATATAAAAGGGTATTTCTCCCCTTCCTAAAGAGTGCCACCTCACCTGTCAAATCATAAAATCCACGTCGGACAACATCTTTATTAGGCCTCGCTATAAATTTTTGTATTCATGTTATGTAATTCTTCTCGCTTGTGTTTTTTATTCTTCTATGGAGGAATCAATAGCTTGAGTTTGTGGGTTTTGATTGAGTGTTATAAAGTCTTCTCCTCTGATCGTTTTGTAGGGTAGTTGATTTTTTTTTTTCCTTTTTTGATGAAAGTTTATTTCTTTTTATCATGGCTCTTTCTTCCTCCATGACCTTCAATCTCCATCTCTGCCTACTTGCTGCATAACGCGTCTGAAGTCCACAACGTTTCCATTCGCTGTCTCTCTCTCTGCTCCGTCGTGGTCTTTGTCTTCACGGCCGTCGGCATGGTCAACCTCCAAATCCGGCGAAGATAAAACTCGATTCATTCCAATGGCTGGATTCTCTGTATTTGCACATTATGTCCCTCACATTTCTGATTATTTTCAAATCGATCTAAGACTTTGTATATTGTAGAAACATCCTTCCAAATTAACCCCAAATCTTTCAATTGTGTTATCTAGATCCAGCGAATATTCCAATTTTAAAATGTTGGTACCTGAATTTTCAGTTGTTTTCAATTTTGCCCCAGTACTTCTAAATTCACAGGAATAGCCTCATTATTTTACCCAAAACTTCTCAAGTGTGCAATTTAATTCTTTTATGTGCAATTATACATGCATATGCAATATATACATCTAATATGCAATCAAAATGATTAAAATAAGATAAAATTAGATGTTAAAAGTCATTAAAATATGACCTTCTTGAATCCACCTAGCTATAGAGCTTCGTTCATAAGTCTGTCCTGTCGAAACGATCACAGGATCGTTCATGAGACTGAGAGAGATGGAGCAAGTGAAATCCTTTGGAAGCGTTGTAACCGTGTTCTCAATCTCCTCAGAGATCAAACCTTTCCTCTGTTTCTTCATGTTGTCAACGCTCCATTCGTCACCATCTTGAATCTTGAATAAGAGAAACATGACGTACCGTGTGATATCTATGAAACCGTTAATCACTGATCTCGTAGGTTCCAGGTCACAACCGTGGCTCTTGATCTGTTCTTCAAGAAACTCTGTCTCACTTTTGTAGCTTATAGGATCTTTGATCCCAAGTTTCTCCACGAAGAAGAAGCTTAGCTCTTCAGAGTTTGGTACACTCGCGTTCTCAAACTCGTTGAGAAACGTGTAGAGTCTGTTACATAGCGTCTCGTCGTTATCATCAACGAAGAGTTTTGATGATGAGTGTTTGTGCAAGAGCTTGACTTGCTCTCTAACGTCGTGGCTCAAGCAGAGACTATCAACGGGGAGGACATCATGGAAGAAGCTTGAGAGAGAGGGGCTTTGAAGTAAGAGCCATATCTTAGAGGAGTGAGAGCAGTAGCGGAGGAGGAACTTGGAGTGATGGAGAAGATAAAGCTCCTTGAAGCACAAGATTTCCGTGTGACCCAAGCTTGAATCTTCTGCGAGGTGTTGGAACAAGACGGTAAAGACTTGGAGTTTACGTATCAGGGAACGTGAGTTTCTTGTTGGAAGGAGAAACGTACGTTGCTGAAGCAAGAGACGATTTCTGATGATGTGGAAGATAGGGTTTGAAGGAGTGGGACGTTAGAGAATATCAACGGGTGCTAGAAACGCCTCTAGCAATGGTGATTGCCTCCGCCGTGAGGATGCGTACATTGCTGAGTTGGTGGCCATGTTAGGATATGTGATTTGGGTAGGTTTTGTGTTACAGAGAGAGCAGTGTATTTGAAGAAAGTGATAAGAGATGGGTTTTTATGATCTATGAGAAGCTATTTATAAAGTTTTTTACTGACGAGCGATTCATCTTTGTATTAAGTTAGTTTTTTTTATCTGCATATCTAATTTATCAAATATACATCAGTTTTCTTTTCTACAATGGAGTATGGAGACCGTGAATGCTGCAAGTCAAAGTGTAAACTATTAATATCATCTGACATTTAACTTATATTCTATTTTTAATAAAAAAATCTAACATTTAACTTATATTCTATTTTTAAAAAACTATTAATATCATCTAACACGAAATTTAATCCAGTTTTTAAAATTTAATAATCAATACGTGACAAGAAAAAAATATAACCCATAAAGCATTAATCAAAATTACATATTACGAAGACTACAACTATATGAAGATTACTAACATTACATAGATTTGCACATTTAACAAACGGAAAGTCAGAAATAATAACGTATAACTCACAAACAATACGAAACTTAATAACCGAGATCGTATATAAAGTAGAACCCGCCCGTAGGACGGACCGGCCCTAATAAATTATATAATACACATGATATTTACTTTTGAAGTGTAACTTACAAATATAGTATGATTGTTATTCTTTATAGGATAACATATGTTTATCTTAAAAATTAAATTTAAAATAATTTATAGAATTTTAAAATATCAATACTTTATGTATACATTTTATAATTATAATTATTTTAATTTGTTATATAATTTTGAATGGGCATGCTAATGGGCTAGACTAGTTATGTTTTATAATTTTCAACTAAAAATTATCAAGATGGGTTGTATTTTAAAAACAAAAAAATATTAAAAAATTCCCAAATAAACTAAATTGGCTCAAACCCAGCAGATTGTTTTGTTTTCAACCAATGAACTCCAAATTATTTTTTGTCATGTTTAAGATAAGTTTGCAGTTTCAAAAAAAAACTCTCAAATGACAAAGAAAGGAATCGTGTCTTCCACGATTCAACTCATTATCATCTCCAAGGTATGTCATACTCTCTATTTTGTTCATTCTTGATAGATATTTGAACTCAAAGTATTTCTTAACTTTATTTTTGGTTTTCGATTTCTTTTGCATGTCCTCTCGAATGGCTTAAACGATTTTGATCTGATGAAATAGAACCCGATCTGATGAATTTCGTAGAAAGATATTGGTGAGCTCGTTTGATTTGGTATTCAACATATCAAAACTACAAAGGTTTGTCTTTGATTGCTAGTAAATCGTTTCAGTACCATTTTTGGTTGTCTTTTTTCTTCTCTTCGAAGGATCTATGAAGTTATTATTTTGTGTCTTAATTTTTTAAAAATATAGATTTTCTGTTAAAATGTATTTATTACTTTAAATCTTGGTATATTTTACCAGTTAAAAGGCTTTTCTATGTTTTAAACTTTATTTTAGAAATCTATTTTTCCAATTTTATATTATTTAACAGTTATATTGTATTCATCTAAATAAATTTATTTTATTTACAATTACATAATAAATAAAATAAATTAATCTTTGCTAAAAATATAATTTAAACCCACGCTTTCAAAGCACAAAATTCTTTATTTTGTAATTTATATTGAAAATAAATTATTATACAATGTTGTGATATATGAAGAAGGGGAAAATTGATAAAATAACCTTCCATTTTTGAAAATAAGCCAAAAAATCTCCAACTCACAAACACGCTATTTTAACCTTCAACTTCTAGCCAAACACGAATAAAACTCATATTTTTGTTGACCAAGCCATTTTAGTCTCGTCAAAATTCAACCGTTTAGTTTCGTTAGTTATATTTAGCGGTTGATTTTTAATCAGTCCAAAATGGCTTGGTCAACGAAAGTATGAGATTTTTTATCCTAATTTATAAGTTGAAGATTAAAATTGCCTACCTAAAAATATTTTATTTTTTTTGTTTACAACAAAAATTGTAATTTTTCATATCAATTAAAATGACTAACTTAAGAAAATATATTCAAATAATATTAGATATAATATTTTAAAATGAATTAAAAAATATTTTTTTTTAGAAAAATAACTTGATTAAAAATAAAATTATACTCTAAATCCAGATATAAAATACAATAATTAAGTGTTTATGTTCAAAACAATTTTAAGAATAAACACATAAAAGTTAAAGGTAAAATCCTAAACACATTGTTGTTAGAAGTATAATCACATATACTGGAAAGAGGATGAAACAAATGAAAATGAGGAAGTCAAGTGCGTGAAAGAGATTTCCGGCAGCTGATTTATAAAAACTGTTGTTTTAGTAAGCCGAATATCCTTTAACGCACTCACCTTCGGTCTTTCTCAGTCGTTTCATCTTCTAATTATAATTGTATTTATAATTAAGTTTTTTAAATTTTTTTTAATCATTTTTAAATTTTATACCTAAACTTATTTGAAAACATTTTATTAAGTTAATGATTACAATTCATATGAAAAAGGGGCATTAGCTAAAAACAACCTAAAATTTCAAATCAAATACAAAAGTGTACCCTAATTTCAATCAAATGCAAAACCAACATAAAAAGGGGTAGAAAAATTTCTATTTACTTCTTATGACTAAACAAAAAAACAAAATGCTATTTTACAATTTTATCCTTATGAAATCTACATTTAATAAAGAGAAAAAGTCTACAAGGTGTAGACTTATCATGAAGTCAATATTATAGACTTATTACGAAGTCTACATTCTAAGTTAATCTTATAATTTTATTTTTTAAATATATAAAAATAAATTGTGTGAAATTTCTTTTAGGTCATCAATATAAGAATCAATATGAGGTTCATAAATTAAAATTTCATATAATTAAACAATTTGAACGAATACATATATATTGATTAGGTAACAATAATGAAATATTCATAGTAGATTTCAAAAAAAAGTCTACTAAGTAGACTTACAATAAAGTCTACTCTAAAATTTTAATTATAGTAGACTTCAAAAGAAGTCTATACTATCGAATTTTTAACCTAGTTACAATTTCTATCTCCTTATATAAATGAAATTCAAACAATCTCTCTCTAAAATGGCTGTACAAGTTTCTAAAAAAACTCTCACTTCTCTCTAAACCTCTTTCTCTTCTCTCTAAAATTCTCTCATTGCTTAATTCTTTGAAGGTGAAGATGCATTTTTGTTTAGTTTGTTATTTTTTTTATCATGTCTTTCACAATATTATCATGTGTTTGTAGGTTAATTCATAGATATCACCTTCCACTCTAAAAATGTAAGTCTTAGATCTATAGATTTTAAATGTGTATCTTTATGTTTATATTCAAATAAAGTTATGATATCACTCAAATATTTAACCCTAGGAGTGAATTACTCTCTCAAATAAGAGGTTCAGTTGTAGTACTTAGAGATCGAATCCACAGGGAACTGAGGAACACAAAAGATGTAATCCTAAGTGATTATGCTAGGTTGATTCAGTAAAAATAGTAAATTGCAGTTGTGAGCAATGATAAGTTGCTCAAGAGAGTAGGTTTTGGTTTTAAAACAATAAAAGAAAGTAGTTAGATTCAAGGTTGCTATTCAGATAATCCGGATTATAATGCTACATATGTTTTAGTAAGTTGCTTGCAAGATATATAAGAACTTCGATTCTTAGACAGATCCAATAGCACTCGCTAAATAGACTCATCCATTGATCTTATTGCCGGCAATATCGACCGATGTTTTGACAGCGATATCGGATGATATGGGTTGCCGTCGATCGATAACTCTATAGGAGTATCGATCGATATAACATAAGATCGAATCGAAACTGTATTCACCAAGATCATAAACCGGCTCTCGCACATCCCTTGAGGATCTAAGCTTATGCCAAATGATTTCAGGATAATGATTTAACAAGTTAAATCACTCCATGATCATACTCTAGTTAGCTACTCTAGAGTAAGCATTAGGGTTCATTTGGATAATGAATATCACAACTCAACATTCCATAGTTGGGGCTAATCCCTCATAACTATTTGAACCCTAAATCTAACAAAGAAATCTACTCAGACATGGCTAAGAGATTCATAATAGCAAGGTAATAATATAAATTCATAAGATTAGAAGATTGAACTCTTGGTTCTTTGGAACAACAAATCTCTTTGTGTGTTTATTCTAAATCTAGAATTCTATAACCTTTGAGAATTAAGATGAAAAGAATACTTTATTGATAAGTATAAATAGTATCAAAAGCATTAAAAACATACTTTGCCAAAACACATAGGCATAACTATAAATATGAGTTCAATTAGGTTAATAACTCGTCAGGGGCAATCTTGTAATATTGAGAAAACTTGGGCTTCAAGTCGGCCAAGTTAGAGTTGTTCTTCACGCTTGATATCGATCGATGGTATATGGTGTACATCGATCGATGGAGTATCTCGACTTCATCTTCAATGGAAGCGTCATCGAGCGATTACACAGGGTGTGTATCGATCGATATGTATCCTTGTTGTCTGATCTTCATAGTCATCTCGGAAAACTCTCATTTAAGCTCCATAAGGGCACCTAAATCATCACTTTACTCCAAAATGGTCATGAACCTGAAAACATACCTAATAGATTCCAAAACATATATATAACGAAAAAAACATATCAATACCATGGCTAAAAGTGGGTCAAAATCATGGTATATCAACTCCCCTAGACTTAACCTTATGCTTGTCCTCAAGTAAACCATTAGTTAGTCTTTTGGAAGAAGTTTAAAAACAGTAGGGACTCAATAAAATCTTAACTTTAAAATCACCACCTCTACTTTGTTGTAAACCACATCTCATATTACTAACTACAGAAGTACATTGTACCATATCATAGCTTAGCTACCAAATTCATCTAGCCAATCAACTTAAACAATCATGTCTGTCTATCCCCTCTACTGATTTCATTTATGCATAAAATGAAGGTGTAGGCTTTACCTTGTGAGTATCGATCAAAGA